ACGGTAGCTGAGATCTGCAGCTCGGTACTTTAATGGTTTCAGACAAGATGCCATCCTCTGGTAGTGGAACCCCTGAAAACTCATGGTTTGAAACTAAATTCACATCATGAGAAATGAGTGAATTTTCAAGAAATTGCATGATGTTAGAAATAGTTTTTTCATCTGTGCGTTCTTCAGGCATAGAGATGCCGCATGTTATTTTTTCTAATTCCTCTATGAAATCAGATCTTTCTGTGAACAATCTTTTAACAGACGTAAATGCAACCCTCCTCATACGTTTTAGGACAAATTTTTTCAAACGTTTTTCGTCCATAGGATTTGTCTTCCATTCTTCTTCCACCTTAGCCCAGACTTTGTCAAAATGATACTTGCATAAGCCTTCTTCATCCTCAGGTGACAATCTAGTTAATTTACCAGGCCAATGAAGTATTTTGCGTATATAGTTAGCGACAGCAGTTTTAGGATAATCGTTCATCTCATCACTGCTCTGTCCACCCTTCACAAACAAATATTTTACATAGTTTCTAACTTCTTTTTGGTTTTCCATCGCCTCCTCCTCCTCCTCCTGGGTTTCCTGATTTTCCATCTGCATAGAGGAGACTGGATCCTGGTCTAGCTCCACAAATTCTGAGCGATACATTTTCGTTGATTTTCTCTTAAAAGCGTTGGATACGGCTGTCCCTATAATTGAAAAGAACTTTCTGATACCAGATTTTACACAGTGTTTCTCCAGCTGTTGTAAAAACATTTGAATAAATTCATTATCCATTACTGGGCATTCCTCCAACAAAGCATTCAATAAGTGTCCTTCACTGCAGAGCACGGTGTAGCGAATGTCACGGAAAGTCCTTTCGAAGGTTTTTTCAAAATTGTCTCGGGTAATAAAGAACTCATGTAGTTTAGTCTCTACTGCATCCCAGATTAAGTCAAAATGACAATCATAGATTTTCTCCTTGGATTTTTCTGACCAATCCTGAGGCAACAGCTTTGCTACATATTCAATTGTGTCTATCAAAAGTTCACTTACAAACATTTTTGTGACGTCCTGTCTGCTGTTACTTGTATTCATTTTGAATCTTCTGTCTTCACAACTAGTCTCCAAAGAATACAATTTATTTCTTGTGCTGAACCTTCGCCTGTCTTTCATAAAGTGATATGAGTTGTTCCCTCGAGAGGTCGTAACTCCTTTGTGACGTCACGATGCCTTTGATGACGTAATGATCACAACTACTGCACAGACGTCGACGTCGTAGACGGACGTAAACGTAAACTGCCGCGGACGCTGGCAGACCTTAATTTACGTCCGGTGTTTTTTTTTTATTTAAACTGGGTATCGTACATAGCATAGAAATAAAGCACAAAAGTACAAAACAAAGAAAGGGGCCAAAGTACTAAAACATTGTTCAAAATTTAAGAATACAGAGCACAATCACAGAATAAATGGGGAAGGGAAAGAAATTATTACCAATTAGTTAAATTTTTCAAATAACTTCCAAATTTTTATGGCTTTTAATTTATGTTCGATGGCTTTTAATTTATGTTCGGTGATCCGTCTATCCCTGCTTGCTTGTCGAATATTCCTACCGCAGCGTGTTACGTTTCGCACTTGTTTACAGGAACAGGCTTAGCAAGCACGGCTGTCGGTCTGTGCTTCCGCATTTCACAGGTAAGTTGGAGAAGGCATGAGTATACCGTACTCCCTCTTGTGGCTATTTGGTGGTATTACAACTGGCTGGCTAAATCTTGTCTGACTGGCAAGAGTGATTAAAAAAACATCTGCAACATAAAACCCATTATTAAAAATAATATTTTGATGTGTTTGTGTCACACGTTGACACATTTCTCAACATTTTCTACTGAATAACTTTTGAAAACAGTTCTTGCAAAGATGCAACTCATGTTTAGGAGCATGGAAACAACTAAAACATGGTGGAAAGGGAATGTCGAGGACCAGAACCAGGTCTGAATTATTAACAATGTTTGTTTTTAGCTTAAAAGTAAAACTAAAACACAGCTGTGTTTCAAGGCCTTGAGGAGCAACAAAAGATGCTCCTAAAACCGTCCAAATTTATTGCAACATTTTTTCTTAACATTACAATCCAAGCATCTCCAGTTCACATGGATGATATTCAGACCGGCACAGAAAGCACCTCGAGTTCAACTATATTGGCAGAAGGACCAAGTCATTCATTGCACTCCACAACCACATTGAATCAATAGTTTTATTGTCATTGTTTTAATAAAGGTGTAGCATAAAAAAAACATGGAGGATAATAGTCATTAAGTGACTATTTTTAGAAACTTCAAACAAAAACAACCCATGACTGGCAACAAGTTCAAGTCAAGTCTGGAAAAGAATTTACCGTAAATTCTCTAATACAGGCCCGGGCCTGTATTTGACTCAAGCTCATCAAGCTCCAGGCCTTTATTGGAAGGAGGACCAGAATTAGAGGCAGGCCTCTATTTCTATTTGAGCAAAATGAACTAATGGTTCGCTGGAGTTTTTGACCATTAAAATTGTGCCCACATTTTCAAAGTTAAACACATTTCTTTTAACAACGGTAGTTTCTGCTTCAGCCCTCTCCCCCCTCCCCCTGCGCAGCGGCCGCAAACTCACTGATGCACCTGCAGCCTCTCAGAGTTCCTGCTGCTCTAAACATTAAAATAATTATTTCATTTTCTGTTCCTCACTTCTGATTACCTTCACTGGTGTCTGTTTGTTGCAACCACCAGGTACAAAAACTAACTTGTTTTTATTTGACTATTTTTCTGTCCAGCCTCTTTATTATCTTCCTGCATCTCCTCTCAATCCTAAAGAAAAACTGCTACCTGGGTTCATATATATTCACCTTATGAGTTACCTTTGAACTGCAGTTCTAAAAGATCTACCGACCGCAAAAACAGCGGAGTGCCGCTGCTCACCGGCCGACTACAATGGGACCGTTTTTGCTGCGGAGTTCGTGCCAGAGCGGAGCGGAGATAGTGGAATTTTGGCGGTCCGTCAAAACAGGTGATGAGCCTCGCTCCGCAGCAGCGAAACGCATCAGGCACAAATAACCGACAGAAAACATTAAAGGAAATGAGCCGACATGAACAATCGCGTGTTTATTTTGTTTTTGAGGTGGTGACACCTGATTTGGTGGTGCTCAGGACGCAGATGTCAGGAGCGCGTCAACGATCAGAGCTTTGCATGCGCAAGCTGGTTAAGATTAGGATGGGGGTGAGGGGAAGGTTAAATTACAAGAGGGAAAAGGTCACAGTTTGGTTAAGTATCCGTTTTACCGCCGGTGTCAGTACCGACGCCCTGGCACAGCGCATTGCCTCCGCCTCCCGACGCGCAGGGACTCATCACCTGCTGTCTTTTCCGAGGACTGCATCTTGTCAGTCATTATCACGTGACAGCGACTAGTCGATGACAGGCATAAAAAGTCACTACAGAGCCGTGAAGTCGACTAGTCGACTAGTTCATACAACCCCTAGTGAATACAGCAGCGCACAGATTGAGAATGGCATCAGCAGTTTTGGTAATAATGGTTTTCGACTCGTCAGGAGCGCCAAGCTCTTCCACCATTTTGGAGACGCCAAAGGTAAGAAGGGCGATGTTATTTCCTGCAGCGCCGATCTGGAAGGTGCACTGGTGTGCACAATCGGTGAGCCGCACAAGCAGATGGTCATGCTCAGAAGCGGGAACTGCTCGCTGGCCATCGAGGTGGTTCTTGGCGCCAAACAGCGAGGCCAAGTCCGGCTCCAGTGGAGGAACGGTTGGCCAGCCCTGGTCGGAGAAGCCCTCGACTTTGGTAATGGGCGCATATATGGAAATTGGCGCTTTGAGCTTAGCAGGCTTGGAGAAGGCGGCGGACCAGCAGCTCATGGCAGCGGGGAAGCACGGCCAGATGGGGTCTGGACAGCGTGTTTGTGTAGCCCCAAAAAATCCCGCCAAATCATCTGTTTCAGGCGGAGCCGGTTCTGGCACGGCTAGCCCCCTGCGGACCACAGCCGCGGAGATGATGGCAGGTAGCTCCTGGAGCAGTGCTCTAACTGCTGGCAGGGAGGAGCGAGAAGGCACTGGAGCAGAGGAACCCGCTGAGGGAGGCTCGTCGACCTCCGTGTAGTCCAGGAGGGAATAATCACAAGCTTGCGTTGTCCGTCTCGTTAAACGAATGTTTAAAAAAGTGGGCTCGACTCTGTGCGTACTTGCGTGCCTGCTGGGGCCCTACGCAAGGACGGATAATGGAGTTGCGTGTCTCCGCACTGACGCAGGATTGTACGTTTCAATTGTGATTAAAATTATTCTTTATTTTGAAAAAAAAAATGTTAATTTTTAGATGCCATCAGCATGTGAGGTATATCAATGTTCTCATGACAAAACTCTAACATGAGACTGTGCTCTAACCTGTCATAACAAGCTAAATGAAAGTCTGCCATGTACACACACACACACACACACACACACACACACACACACACACACACACACACACACACACACACACACACACACACACACACGTCATGACTAATTCAACTACACTGAACTGCTTGTGTAATAAGTTAATCTCTTATTCTGGAGTAAAATAAAGAAACAAGCTAAATCATCACATATCTGTGGCATCAAGAAGCAACGGTTTAGATGCGGTGCTCATGCAGGTGTCTCTCTCTGTTCCGATGCTGCTACACGTAATATTTTTAATTTATTAAGCCTACAATTTATTTTACTCAGTAACGGATATGATTTAAAATGTAGCGAATTACAATTCTTTTTTTAAAATGTACTCAAGTAAAAGTAAAAGTACAGATTTTAAAAACGACTTAAAAAGTATAAATATACAAAAAAGCTACTCAATTACAGTAACGTGAGTAAATGTAATTAATTACTTTCCACCTCTGGTTATACAACTGGCTCCATTCACTTGCCTTTATTTTTTCTTTGGTCTGTGGACCCATGAACCGACCGGATGGGGAGGAGCTTGAGGCTCTCTATTACCGTAAAGCCTGGGGTGCACGTGCCTTGTAAAATCGAGTGAGTGGGTGCTACTCAGTGACTGTTGAACGTGCTACTCTACCGTTCGTCGACGAGTGGAGGCTGGCTTTACCGCCGTGGTTCGGCGAGCGTTGAAAGTTGAGCATATCCTTTTTGTCTCGTCTGAAGGAGCGGGAAAGATCAAGTAGGGGGAAAAATGGAGGACGTTTTGACCCCAACCGGCGACACCATATTGGACCAGGCGGTCCGACAGTGGCTGCAGTATGACCGGGTAAGCTGACAGCTAAACACTTTTAAGCTAACCGTTTGCTGATGTCTGACTCGCGTTTTGATCATCTTTCTGATGAACCTTTAAGACTTTAAAACAAGTAAACAAATATAAACAAATATAAACAAAAATGGCGAAACAAGAGAGAACACAGTCTCCAATGTGTGACAACCGAACAGAGACTGATTCTTGTTGGTAATGTGATGATGCAATAATAAATAGAGTAGAAGGTAATAACTTTTTTTAATTAAAACTGCATTTCCAAAACAGAAACTAAAACTATCAGATTAGGAAAATATTTTTGTCAGGGGAAACAAGGTATTAATATAGTTATTAAAGTTATTAGTTAGAAAGCTGGCAAGGCTACATAGCCAAATTTTAATATTTGGCTTATTTAACTATAGAAACCTCTAGTTATAGTCTTAACATTAAACACAGAAAGCAGTTTTGGTTTGGGACAAGCATTGACTAAACAATTATAAATTATAACAGTCAGTTAGTTTTTGCCTTTGCCTAAATCTAAATGTTTTTATTTCTCAGAACCCCAAAACGATATCAATGGTGCAGGATCTGGTGAAGAAGGGAGCTGTGGAGGCTCTGAGGGAGTGTTTCTCCTCCAGAATGGAATTTGGTACAGCGGGACTCAGAGCAGCCATGGGCCCTGGCATTTCCTGTATGAATGACCTCACAGTCATCCAAACCACACAGGTCAGTAAATAGAGGAGCTACTGCCTCACATTAAGCATCAGGTCACATGAACATTTGGTTTTGAAACCATCATGTTACAGATTGCTGTACAGCTCGCTCACCAGACTTCTATTATCTGTTTATCTTGAGAGGTGGAGCTACAACTTCCTGGTCAATTTGGACAATATCTGTATTGTAATGAATTGGCGACTGAGTCATGCTGGTGTTCAAAATCTTAAAATCAGGTCTTTTTTATTGTCATTTTCTTTAGATTATGGAGTGGAAATGTAAACTCAATCCAGATTAGTATAAGAGGGCAGCAGCAATAAGCCTAGTGAACTAGACCAAATTCTTGCTTTGCAAAGTTTGGTCTAGGAATGCTCCACTGGAACCTCTGCAGCCCCAACAGCATTCTGGCTGGCCAATCACAGCTCTCTAGAGGGGTTTCAAACACATAAAGAGCTGTGAATGGCCCATAATGGGGGGCCAATCATTAGGGCTGTCGCGGTAACCGCAAAAATGAAATATCGCAATATGAAGAAGCCCACCGCGCTGCATCATGGGCCACCGCGATTACTGAACTTGGTTCAACTCAATGATGCATGTTGAGAAGGATGGCTGCACTGGTATCAAAACGAAACGTTACTTCGCTCCTTTGGGAGCGCTTTGGTTTTCAGTACGTCAGCTGCTGCGCAGCCAGAGTCCTTGGCCGAGACGGAGCTGCCACCAGCGGCAAAAAATAAATAAATAATAAACGCTCGGAGACCTCCTGAAGTCCTGGACAAGCACTGCTTCTGCAACCGTCCCGAAGAGAGTTTGAGCCGAGCTGGAGCTCACTCGCTACCTGCAGGAGGAATGCATCCACCCTAAAGAACCCCCCTGACATGGTGGAGCAACAACCGGGAGAGATTCCCTTTGCTCGCCAGAGTCGCACGCAAGTTGAGTTCGGAAGCGAGCGGGGCCGGTGTTCTGTCACCGGACCGGAGCGGAGGGGAGCGGAGGTAGTGGAATTTGGGGTAAGTGCAACGAGCGCACCATCCGAGAGGGTTTTCAGTGTTGCTGGAAATGTTGCCACCCCTCTCAGATCCTCTCTCAAACCGTATATGGTTAACATGCTGGTTTTCCTTGTGGGTAACAAGGACGTGACCGAGCTATAAATCACCGTCATTCGTGTGTGTGAAAGTGAAATGATAGTGCGCCCGCCCCCCGTCGCGCGCGCGCCCGGTACATGCAATTTTTTATGCTTGATTTTAAACAACTAAACAAAATGGGGACTTGTTTCTTATTTGTTAGATGCTGCAGCCAAATTTGCATTTAAAAGTTTAACCTTCTCCTGATTTTTGTTGTTTTTAAGTTCAGTCGGACTCCGACTGTCGGACAAACAAACGTTACTGCGATCTGTGTTGTTACTGCCCTTTGATCTGCATTCAGTAAAGCGTTATAAAAGAAGGCACGGCAATTTTTAACCTTTTTTAAATGTGTAAACATTATGTTTAGATAGTACTGCAATAATATCGCATACCGCAATATTAAGCCACCCTGAATCACCACAGGGGGAATTCCTCAACCGCGACAGCCCTACCAATCATAGTGCTCTACCTGCTTAGTGAACAAATCACAGAGCTTTATCCGCTTTGTGGGCCAATCAGGGCACTCTATATGCCTGGTGGGTGGGATGATGCAACAGAGTGAAACAAGAGTATGGTCGTGTTCGAGATGAGTTGCGCCTCGCCTGGAAAACTGACGAGAGCAGACGGAAGCAGCAGGGGGAGGGGCTGAAAGTCGGCGTTTAAGTCGGACAGATTTCCCTACATGTGTAGCTCGGGGGTGACGATGGCTGAAGATATCGCGTTAGAGTTCATACTTGTTTAATTATTTATTTTAATTCTGGTGCCTGTTAGCAGCAGAAACACATCCTCACGTGCTTGTGGATATCATATATTGTATATGGAGACATGACTGTAATAATAAGTAAAGGTTATCAGCTGTAGGTTTAGTGTGCTCATAGGAAACATGACAAAAGAACACAAAACACATTTCTCTTTGTGGCCTATATAGTTGTCATCATCAACATAACATGATTTACAGAATACATGTGACCAACTAACATCTCATGTTCTACCATTGGATGTTTGGATCAAAATATGAACCAATCAGATCTTAGATCGGGTGAGAGCCAGGCGTTTCCCGTCATCCCCTAGGTTTTGATGCCGGTGGAGAGCAACTGCAGCGCCTTGCTCCAAAATCTGCGGCCGCCTTGATCTCACGAGGTTATCGTTGCCTACGTATGCATGACGTCAGAGCAAGTCGGCGTCACATCGGACACAAATCTAACCGGCATGCACTGTTCGCCGATCACCAGTGATCTAATCTGCGCAGAACTGGCTCATCTCGAACAAGGCCTCTGTCACATTCATTGTCCAGTGGAATGCGGAGATCATTTGAAAGACAACGGTAGAATCCGCCCCACAACGGAGAGCCGTCAATGGAGCGTGGCCAGACTAAATAATACATTTATTTAGTCTGGCTTGCCAGGCTAATAGATCATTATAGCAAAGGTAGAATAAAGGGTCTGGTTATGACACATCTGTCCACTGGGTGGCGATGTTTGGCAATATTTATGAACTGCATCCATATTATAGTGTGTTGAACGTGTTCATTAATTGGCAGTGGTGTTAAGTAATTATTTACCCAACAGACTGATTTAATTGGTCATTGAGAGGCTTTAGGGCAAAGTTGTAGTCTTATTTAACAATGTTATACCAACAGACACCCCAGGAATAAATGTAGATGTCAGTCAAAATGTTTGTTTATTTAAAAACATTAAAAGAAGGTGGGGGGTGGTTGGGGGTTGGAAGTACCCAGATGTGTTAACCCTGTCTATGAAAAGTTTTATTGGTGTTTTCTTATTTGTTTTAACACTTAATTTAAAGCAATGCTGTAAACATTTGAATAAAGTCCAAACTTTTACTTTTTAAATGTTTCCTCCTTGCCAGGGCTTCTGTTGCTACCTGGAGCAGAGTTTTAAGGACCTTAAAGAGCGAGGTGTGGTGATTGGGTACGACGCTCGGGCCCACCCTCCCAGCGGGGGCAGCAGTAAGCGATTCGCCAGCCTGGCTGCAGCCGTGTTCATCAGTCGAGGAGTGCCGGTCCACCTCTTCTCTGACATCACCCCGACGCCCTTTGTGGTAGGCACTCCAGTCTCACGCTTGGCTTTTCTGACTCAGTGGAACATTTGGACACAGAAACTGTTAAAACAAATTTTAGCACATTTATGGGTCAGACCTGCTTGTTTAGAGGGATGAAAGCCGCAGGGCAAATTCTTTAAAAAAAAAATGAACTCACCTCTACTTCACAACATGCTGCACAACACACACACACACACATACACACTTCAAAAGGTTGTGTTTACAAGCACAAAGGGGACGTGACGTTTCTGATTTCATGTTTGTTGTAACTTGTATGTGAGCCTGATGATCTGCACACCTGCATCTTTAAAGCAAATACAGCAACGTTTAATTGACATTGAAATAGTGAAATTGTTTCTTTTGTTTTATATATATTTGACAATGTGGAAATATGTATTTTTTTTTACCAACCCTTTTTTTTCTCATCTTATTCTTTTAACAGCCGTTCACGGTTTCCCATCTTGGCCTGTGTGCTGGTGTCATGGTAACAGCTTCACACAACCCCAAACAGGACAACGGCTACAAGGTAATCCTTAGATAGATGTTTAGTTTACCTTCATATTTAAACCTATTTTAGTTTAGTAACTTGTTTTATGTTAAATTTAAACACAACAGGTTGAGGTTACTTACTGACGGTAAGCACAAACAGAGCAAACATTTATACAGCTTAATCACTGCTCAACTTCATGGTCCCAGTAGTACTGGCTGATCCGATTCTCCCTGAGTGCTAGTAGGGCACCCACTTGTCCCTGCCTCACGCTGCTTAACGTTCTATGAGTAGATGCTCACTACTGTTATTAGGGCTGGGCGATATGGCCTCAAATCTATATTGCGATATAATCTGAAGTAGGGCTGCACGATATTAGGAAAACCTGCAATATTCGATAACAGTGCTTAATATTGCGATATCGATATTACTCGCGATAAATGAACAAATACTAAAGTATGCAGTGTTGATGTCGTCTGGTGTGTGACGTCTGCTCTGGGTTCAAAGCAAACAAAAACTAATGCATGAATTCCATTACAACATAACATTTTTATTGCAAAAATATGCAGCTGCACCTGCTACTGTATTAGCAGCTGCACCTGCTACTGTATTAGCAGCTGCACCTGCTACTGTATTAGCAGCTGCACCTGCTACTGTATTAGCAGCTGCACCTGCTACTGTATTAGCAGCTGCACCCCCTACTGTATTAGCAGCTGCACCCGCTACTGTATTAGCAGCTGCACCCGCTACTGTATTAGCAGCTGCACCCGCTACTGTATTAGCAGCTGCACCCGCTACTGTATTAGCAGCTGCACCCGCTACTGTATTAGCAGCTGCACCCGCTACTGTATTAGCAGCTGCACCTGCTACTGCATTAGCAGCTGCACCTGCTACTGTATTAGCAGCAAAACAACAAACTGCATGCTTGCAGTTTCTCAGTGACTTTAAAACATCACCTCCACTAGGGCTGCAACTAACGATTATTTTCATAATCGATTAATCTGTCGATTATTTTTTTCGATTAATCGATTAATCGGTTTGTTATTGTTTGGCTATTTAACCTATACAAGTGATGGATGCATTTCAGTTAAGAACAAAAAAACATAAGAGAATTGTGCAGTTGACTGCAATCTATTTTATTGCACATGAACACAGTCAGCAGTATAAAATGAGCTAAACAGTGCAAAATATCAGTCCAGAATAATTTTTAGCATTAGCTGGAAGCCTGCTCCTTCCACCATGGATAGTGGCCTCATGTCTTTTACCAGCATGTTTAGAATAGAGTTTGTAAGTGGTATGAATTGCTGGGGGGTGAGTGTCTTCTTCCCCATGTAGTTGTCCATCGTTGCTTGTTTTTTTCTGCATAAGAAACACAAATAGACTGAAATAAGTACACATATAAAATAAAGCAGCACACACACTACAACACTAAATCAATATTATATTATTTGAATTAATTAACAATATACAGTGATTATTTATTTTGAGGGTTACGTTCTACAAAATAGCCCGCAACAGGAGATATTCAGAAAAAAAGTAAAACATTTTTACTATTAAAAAGCTCTAAGTAAGAAGCTCATGAGGTTTTTACTTTGAGTCGGGAGTGTTTAAATTAGCCAGAGAAATGTGAAAAATGTTTATTTTGTGTAATACTGTTTAAGAAACATGATAAAAATGTGTTGTGAGGCGTTTTACAGCGTTAGATAGTAAAACAGCCTTTTAATAGTAAAAAAATGACTTTTTCTGAATTTCTCCTGTATTTAAAAATTGAAAGTGTACAACTATGCCGCGTTATATTCACCTGGACACAGCTTGTCTGTATATTTTTCTCCGCGGAGTTGTCCTTTTTTGAATGAGGAACATAGTTATGGGTTTGTGCCGTTTTTCTCTTAACGAGAACATTCTTATAAACAGACGTGCTAAATTTGGCAAGCGCATGATACACAACACGGAGGAGATTCACGATTGCATCTAGTCAATCAGAAGTAGAACACCGCAGACTGACGCGGCAAAAAAACATGTTTAACATCCACTATAACGAACTCAGCTAAAACACTAAGTCCAGCTTGTTTATTTTCTGTTACTTACCGGGCTGGCTCTTCCAAATGACGGCTCACTTGACCGCGGTGCTCTTCCTCTGCTGCATCAGCCCCCACATGCTTTCGTCTCAAATGTGCTCCCATACTCGTGAGGTTTTTGTCCGGGGTTTCTCTTCAGTTTTGTCGCTTCTATTTTTCTTCCGTATTTCCTCTTGTTCCGCCATTTTCTCACAGCAAGATGAGCGTCAGTAACGTGATACGTCATGAAAACCGAGGGCACCCATTGGCTCATTTCTTCTTCTACGGCTCCACTGGTAGATCAGTGGCTCATTACTGCCACACACTGGCGGCAAATTTAACAGCTTGTAACCGATGTCAGATTGTGGTAAAAAATAGACTTTATGCGGTAAAATATGATTATTAAACAACTAATCGATGACTAAAAAAGTTGTTAACTATTTTAATAATCGATTATAATCGATTAAATCGATTAGTTGTTTCAGCTCTAACCTCCACCATAAAACTTTTTCTGATGCTCCAAATACAGAAAAACATCCCTTACCAGGGTTTTCTGAATAAATAAAAACATCAGAAAATAAGTTTAAATGTTAAATAATAGTTAACATCACTTAAACGCAACAGCAAATTCTCTCATTGCTACTGAACATTTTCTCCACTTGTGTGGTTATGATATAAGGCTGTTGCTGTAACTGGGAAGTGAACTGTGCTGGGCCAAACTAGGAGAACATTAAGATTTTCTGAGAGAAACAATTGTCTACCTTTCAGAAGAGGAACTGGCAAAAAACTACATGGAAAATACGTGAAAACATTTGTTTTTAACCCCAAATTGAACAAGTTTACCTAGATCTTAAAAAGCAGCTCAGATGATGAAACTGCAACTATGATTCTGATAACAAGCTAACAAATTGAACTAGCTCCTCTAAGATAACCGGTGTAAGGTTATGAAGTTCATGGTTTTCAACTCCATACAGCTGGCCCCTGGGCACAATAACACCGTGTAGAAAAACCAAGGTCGGGTGTTCCTCAGACTGTTTACATTCCAGGAGAAGAGTCCGAAGGAGAAGAAGAAACTTTACTTAATCAAAGTACTTTATTTGTGATTAAAATTATTAAGCAAAACAGATGTTGATCAACAATAATCAAGTGAATGATCTGTGAAATAAATATGTCATGAATTATGTTTAATGAAACCAGGACTACGGCACAGACATACTGATCCTCATCTCCATAGAAACGCATGACACATTGTTCCAACCAATCAGAGCTTTCGGCTGCCGCGGGAGAATCTGGTGTTGACTTCAAATGTCCAATCCACTTTACTCCAACTTATCAACAATTCAGAGATATAAAACAAGGCAACGCCATTTTAAGTCAGTTCCATTTTGACTTCAGTTCTATTCAACATCATCCTAAAGAAAAGCACAGCCTGTCCAGATGTGTTTTCTTCTCTAAACTAAGAACTGTGAAACGGGAGATTTTCGTCGTTTAACAACCAGACGACGTCCTTTCAAAATAAGAGCACCTGCTGACGCCGCTGAACGGTACCGGGGTCGACCCTCCAGACGGGCTTTGAAACGTTGTGATCGCTGCACCGACAGCTCCATCGTACATCCGAGGTCTCCAGACCTGGCATTTCCTGATCTACCTGGGAGACCCCCACTGGGTACGTACACGGCAAAATAGCGGCTCATGTCATCACTTTATAAGCCTCGTGATATCTAGTCATAACAAAGACGACCAGATTCGATTACGTCAGCCTAGAGAATCTGAACCAGACACACACACACACACACGCACCAACACAACATCCGAATCCATTCTCATCCATCACAGAGTAGTCCTGGTAGATTGTTTAGAATTTATAATTCAGAAATTAAAGATTCTCAAACGATCCCATCTCTCTCTTTTCTTGTCTCAAAGTCAATACAGAGTGTTTAATTAAACTCCCTGATGATAAAAACAGCCTATTCTTCTGTTTATAAAAAGTGAACTACTAACAGTGTGTTAAAATACAACTTTAGATAGTTACATCACTTTGATTCCGTTACACCGGCTAGCAGAGCTTCTGACTGACAGTTTATGTGCAGCAGCAAATCAACTATCCTGATTAACAAGGTTATAAAAGCTCATAAATGAAAAATCACTTTCATGTGTGGGGGAACTTTTCCATGCCCTCTTTAGCAGGGTGGGACTGGGAGGAGAGTGCTGTAGCCTTTTAGCTGGAAGCTAACCGGAACCTGGGGCTAACATCATCACCCGGTGGAACACTAGCGACATGAAGGTGGGTTGGTTCACCGGCACGTGTCGGAGTCAGCCCGGTTACTATCAGCTGGTTAACGACACCGAACGAACTCACGTTCACGTTTGAAAGCAGCGCTGATTCCAGAAACATCAGCACAAAGTGCGTTCGTTGCTCTGAGCCAGCATGACGAACAAGGGAACGGCGCCGCTAACTCAGTTCGGGTGTTGCTTTCCATCCTAATGGGCTCGACAAGGGTCTACGTAGGGGGCGGGCGTATTACATGAACGGAATCATCTGATTGGCCGCATATCAGAAGGACTACATTTGATTGGTCAAATAATACTTCCGCGTAAAAAACAGAGCTGGTTTACAAAAAGTTGATGTATGACACGGATGGAAATGTTGAACCAAACATTTATCGCCGTTTTTGACGTGCTTTGCGATGGGCCTATCTCACGTCCTGTTATCGCGATGACGATAATTTTTCGATATATTGTGCAGCCCTACTCTGAAGCATGTGCTGTAACGATATATATTGCGATATATTTTTTCTCTGTTTATAAATGTCAAAATGACGTGCTTTTAAATATCCTCAAGTGGCCTCCTCCTCCGCTCACTCCATGCTTGCAGTCACTGCCATTCTGTTGCCCCAGCAGGGTGCACATCTTAGTGACGTCATGTGTTATCGCATTATTGAGATATAGCCAAAAACTCTATCATTACCCAATTTTATATCGTTTCTACCTTATATCGTTTATATTGCCCACCCCTAACTGTTATTATCCTTAATATACTGGGTCACATCTGATCAGATTGTAACTTATTTATAATCTTCTGTTATGTAGGCCATATTCTCCTGTTTTCCCACGTTCGGCCAAATGAATGTTGTTGACTTATAGAGGCATAATATGTCAGTATCCAGTATTATGCAGTAGTATGTTTCTGCATAACAAAATGTCGATGCTCTGTTTCTGTGCTAGGTGTACTGGGAGAGTGGTGCCCAGATTGTGCCCCCCCATGATGTAGGGATCTCTAAAGCCATCAAGGAGAACCTGGAGCCGTGGCCAGAGGCCTGGAACTCTGAGGAGGCCCTGAAGAGCCCCTTGCTGAAGGACCCCTACCAGGACACTTTCACACAGTACTTCAAAGCCATCCAGAAACACTGTCATCACAGGTGATCCATACAAGAACTTCCCCTTTAGAAGCACAAACACAATGAGAATCCACGGACATCAGAAGACAAACCACATTTTTTGACTTCTTCTTTCACAGGGACATCAACAAAAGCTCAGAGGTGAAAATAGTTCACACGTCTGTGCATGGAGTTGGTCATGCTTTTGTCCAGTCAGCATTCAAGGCCTTTGATCTCCCTCCTCCATACGCTGTAGACCAGCAAAAAGATCCAGATCCGGAATTTCCCACCGTTAAGTACCCCAATCCTGAGGAGGGGAAGGGAGTCTTGGTGAGGCTAACCTACACGGCTCACACCTAGAAGATGAAGTGTTTTATTTATGTATTTGTATGTTTGTGTGATTGTTTGTTTTTCAGACTCTGTCATTCGCTCTTGCAGTGACGGAGGGAGCCTCTGTGGTGTTGGCCAATGACCCTGATGCTGATCGACTGGCTATAGCTGAGAGGCAGGACAGGTCAGGAAAATGTTATTCTCTTTCCATCTCTCTTCCTCTCACTTTGAACCGATTAAAATCACCTTTATGTTATTGTAGATTTTAACCCTGTCAGGTCATGAAAACCCTAAGTGCATCACCATGGTAACAGCTGAAACGCTGTGATCATGACAGACTGTCCTGCCTACCTGTCCATGACCCCCCCATCTGTCTCTGTGCTTCAGTGGACAGTGGCGAGTCTTCAGTGGTAATGAATTGGGGGCGCTGCTCGGCTGGTGGATGTTCCACTGCTGGAAAGAGCAGAACCCCGATGCTGCTGTCGTGAAAAACATCTACATGCTTTCAAGCACGGTGTCTTCCAAAATACTGCGGGCCATCGCTCTGAAGGAGGGCTTCCACTTTGAGGTTTGGAACTCGAGTTTTATGTAAAATAATCAGTAGCAGGGATGTGTAATCCTGTGTAACCTCCTTTAAGTCAGGGCTCAGGGAGTAGATAAGAAAACAATTCAAGCTGACATTAAACTGAGAATAAACATATCTATAAAAGCATCTAAATTGGCTAAAGGCTTTCAATTAAAGAGGCCAGATCATGGAAAACCCACCTTTTAGAGCTTTTCACAATGGGATGCTATTTTGTCACGAACAATACCCCCAAACCTGTTTTTGGCTGCATTCGTGCATTTTCCTGTCTCCGCTGCAAATTTTCGGTTGTATTTTGAAAGTCTTGAAAAGCCTTGATGAAACTTAGTGCATCATCAGGCCTTTCTCCTCCCTCTGAAGCTAGTCTTTGTTATGAAACTCATCTCCACTGGAAGTAGGTCACTAATGCCCACTCACTCTTGGTGGCGACTTGCGAGCATAGAACAGTGGATTTCATCGCTGCAGTTGAGAATGTTTTAATCTGACCTTCTTGTCGCAGATGACTTCTTTAAAGACCTCCACCAGTTTCAGACTGGATATTCTGACAAATTCTCTTTGCATTGGGGACAAAACACCGCTGTAAAAACCATGCGTCCTGTCCACAAAGGCACGTGTAATGGGCAGCACATTTTGCTGCAGAGCATGTTTCTTAGACGACTAACATTTTGTAACAGACTTGCGCTACTTTCATACTAGCATTGGCTCCACTCCGTTCTGCCCGCCCCAGCCCGGCTGATTTCGTTCCACATTGCCTTAGGAATGCGGACGTGATTGAGCACATGGGCGGTCTGTGGTCTGTGATGTCATGAGCGCATCTCTGAGCATGTGGGCAGGGAAAAAGAGCACGGGGAAGTCCACGGTATCCCTGTTATTAAACAAAAGCGGCCTGAGCAGTGTTGCTTTTGGAGACTCTCTGACTCTAGTATTGCATCCTGCTTTGCTGTGTCTGGCAGCGCTCTGTGTGTGTGTGTGTGTGCGCGCGCGTGCGTGTGTGTGTGTGCGCGCGCGCATGTTCCTCACAGCCGTGAGAGACAGAGAAAAACTGCTTAAGTCAGAGTCTCGTTAACTCCGCAGCATCCAGAATGATAATGAATCGCGCATGCAGGAAACCCCCGCCAGCTGATTCTATCTGCCAATAGGAGGCTTCCCCTAATGGTCAAGTGATTTTGAGCCAGCCAATCAGTCAGCAGTGGGTGTGTTAGAACGGTTCTGCTCCAGGCAGAGTGCCTCGGGAAGAGGCCTGAAAAGACATCCGGTTGCATGCTGAACACTCCCAACCCGGTCCAGATGTGGGACATTCTCATCTGTACCGTGTCGGGCCGGGTAGCATAGGTTGTTTACATATCTGGGTGGCCTGGTATTTTTCCGGGCCAACCAAGGCTCATTCTCAGCCCTCTTCTCGAGGGGGTCTGCTTCAGGGCGACCAGGGCCAACACACCCACTGCTGACAGCAAATTCACACCTTCCATTAGAGCAAGCCTCTGATTGGTGGGTAGAATCAGCCCACATGGGCTTAAGACAAGGATGTGTGGAATCAACCGGGCCAGGCTGGGGCCGACTGGGGCTACCCGGCCCGGGCCGACCCGGTACAGATGGGAATGGCCCAGTGGAGTAGAACCAATGCTCATGTACAAGTGCCATTGGTAGTCCAGTGGTTAGAGCGCCTGCCTCGCTTGCTTTTTCGCTATGACCTTACACCGGTTTGATTCCCGGTCTCAGCTGTAATATTCTTTCTTCTTTTTTTAGCTACACTTACCTGTATTGTGTTTTCAACCCTTTAGAAGAAGAAGAAGAAAATATCATTTCTATAGCGCCTCTCAAGATAAAAATCACACGGCGCTTCACAAAAACAAAAAATGTAAAAATATAAAAAAGCATTTAGAAAATGTTTAAAAATATATTTAAAATGAGCAAAAATAGACAATTGTGATTAAAAAAATGTTAAGAAAGAGAGAGTGAACAGGAAAGAGGGAAATCAGTGGATCCTGAGGAAGGTGGAATAGGTGGGGAGAGCAGAATAAAGAGAGAGAGGTGAAGAAGGTCATTCAAAAACCAGCTTGAACAAGTGAGTCTTCAGCTGCTTTTTAAAGGAGTCCACTGAGTCCACTGATCTCAGGCTCAGGGGGAGAGAGGTCCAGAGTCTGGGGGCCACAGCAGCAGATGATCTGTCACCTTTGACCTTTAGCCTGGTGCTGCACAACCAGTAGGCTTTGATCACTGGACCTCAGGGACCTGCTGGGGGTGTAGGGACTAAGAAGATCACCAATGTAAGATGGTGCTTGTCCATGTAAGGCCCTATAGACCAGAACCAGGATCTTGAAATGAACCCTGAAGTTGACTGGCAGCCAGTGAAGCTGGAGGAGAAGCGGGGTGATGTGGGTGTGTTTGGAGGACTTGGTCAGAAGCCGAGCACAGGCATTCTGAACCATCATTCTGTAACCAAAGAGAGTTACAGTAGTCTAAGCGTGAGGAGATGAAGGTGTGGAGAACTGTCTCAAGTTCAGAGCGGGACAGAATGGGACTCGGCTTAGCAACGTTCCTGAGATGGAAGAAGGAAGAGCGAACAAGAGAACTGACATGAGGATCCAGGGTGAGCGCTGGGTCAAAGGTCACGCCAAGATTCCTGACAGAAGGTTTGGTGTGAGAAGCAAGCTGACCAAGAGAGTCTCTGACTTTGGGAACCAGCTTGTCTGGAGCACAGATGAGGATCTCAGTCTTATCTTCATTCAGCTGAAGAAAGCTCCCAGCCATCCAGGTTTTGATAGAGTCTAAGCAGGTGTGTAACAGCTGCAGCTTAGACATCTCATGGGGCTTAAAGGAGATGTACAGTTGGATGTCATCTGCATAAAGATGGTAGGAGATTCCCTTGAAGGAGCTCAGGATGTGCTGAAGAGGAAGCAGATAGAGGAGGAAGAGCAGAGGCCCCAGCACAGAACCTTGTGGGACACCATGGGTAAGAGAGGTGGTGGAGGACCTAAACTTGAAGACGGCCACAGAAAAGGAGCGCTCAGACAGATGAGAGGAGAACCACTCCAGAGCAGATCCTGATAGGCCTACCCAGTCTCTCAGCCTCTCCAGTAGCAGGTGATGGTCAACAGTGTCAAAGGCTGCAGTCAGGTCCAGCAGGACCAGAACAGAACAGTCCCCTGCATCACCGTGAGTCAAACGGTCATTAGAGACCCTAAGAAGAGCTGTTTCAGTAGAATGAGCTCTACGAAAACCTGACTGGCAACAATCACAGATGTTATGTTCATCAAGAGCAGCTGTGAGTTGTTTAGCCACAACCTTTTCTAAGATCTTGGAGATGAACGGAAGTTTAGAGATGGGTCTGAAGCTGCTATGGAGAGAGGGGTTGAGACTTGGTTTTTTAAGAAGCGGGTGGATTACAGCATTCTTAAAGTAAGCAGGGACCTGACCAGAAACCAGAGAAGCATTAATTATAGAGAGCACGCTGGGACCGATGGACTGAAAAGCACTTTTAAACAAAGATGAGGGTAAGATGTCGAGGGGGTTTATTGGTAAATTGTCTAAAGTTTAAGGACTCATCTTTAAAAAAAAATTTTTTTTACTTTCTTAGTTTTTTTTTAGCCAGCTGAAGACCAAGTGAGTCCATGTGAGATGAGCAGAGTAGATCATTAGGACTTCTGTGTCCCATCCAGAGCATTGCAACTAAAATTCTGCTTGGAAATGACCAAATTCAAAGATCTTTAGAGACACAAATGTTTTGCAGAAGATAATCAATTAAACAAAAATACTTAAAAAAAACAACGTACCTGCTTCAGCTGGCTAAATAAATTGCTGCAGACATGAGGAATCGAACCGGCATCAGGACATGGCAAAACAAGATGAAAGGCAGATGCTTTAAACACTAGACCAGCGGTACTCAATAGGTGGGACTAGGCCCGTGGGGCCCTTCTATGTGGCCCCTAAACCGCCAGCACCCCCCATCCCTCACCCCCACCACCGGCCTTTTCATTTGCGCCGGCAGGGTACAAATGGTGCTGATGTGTATGGGTCCACATGAGACCACCCCCCGGACTGGACCTTGAACTTCAAGGTTGTTTTTTAAAATGGCCCTCAGAACATTTCAGCTGAGTCACCCTGCATAGACCATCAAGACGCAGCTGTTGTACGCACATATTGTTGGCATGGGCAGAGAGCCGGCGCGGTTTCCAAGTAAACTTTCTTTTAATTTGATGCTTCGTTGCAGCCCGTAATGTTTTGTGGGTTTTGTAATGAATGGGTGGAGCTCAGGCCGGTGGAGGTGGGGTTTCCGTGATTTGAAGTGTTTGATTTCCAGGTACAAAGACAAGCTGACGAAAATAACCATGGGTAAGATTTTATCATCGACTGTTTCTACCTTTGCTCTCAGAGGTTTAAAATATCATGATCTGGTCCTTTTAAAGATAGTTTAATGTGATGAATGTAAAATCAAAATTGTTGGACTAAACAAAGTTTCTCATGATGTTTGAGCAGGAAACTTTAACAGGATTCAAGTGGATGGGGAACAGAGCCAAAGACCTCTTGGACCAGGGCAAGACGGTTCTGTTTGCTTTTGAAGAGGCCATAGGTACGCACCAACAAACTAATGGTGGACACAAGGGAGATGACGAGATTAACAAAGGATAAAACTATCATCTGGGAGCTAAGTGCTCATTAAGGTGTCTGTTTAAAACTAACTATTCAGTATTTAAACACAGATCTGATCTGAAATGGTTTTAATCCACAACTTAAGTACCATTTTGGGCCATGCGTTTGTTTTAAAATGAATGAAAAACTAAACCGTTTAGATTTTATTGACCAGAACTACTCAGTGCACCGAGCTCAGACCAAGCTTGTACTCGTCGGAATAGATTCAGAGACAATGATGAGATGGCATCAAACTGATCTTTGACAGCAGTTTCTGCCGTCTTTGTAGTTAGTTAAATTATTCAGTAGGGCTGTCGCGGTTGAGGAATTCCTCCTGCGGTGATTCAGGGTGGCTTAATATTGCGGTGTGCGATATTATTGCAGTCCTTTTTTAATTGCAGTACTATCTAAACATAATGTTTACACATTTAAAAAAGGTTAAAAATTGCCGTGCCTTCTTTTATAACACTTTACTGAATGCCGATCAAAGGGCAGTAACAACACAGATCGCAGTAACGTTTGTGTGTCCGACAGTCGGAGTCCGACTGAACTTAAAAACAACAAAATTCAGGAGAAGGTTAAACTTTTAAATGTAAATTTGGCTGCAGCATCTAACAAATAAGAAACAAGTCCCCATTGTGTTTAGTTGTTTAAAATCAAGCATAACAAATTACATGTACCGGGCGCGCACGCGCCGGGGGGGGGGCGCACTATCATTTCACTTTCACTTTCACACACACAAATGACGGTGATTAATAGCTCGGTCACGTCCTTGTTACATACAAGGAAAACCAGCATGTTAACCATATATGGTTTGAGAGAGGATCTGAGAGGGGCGGCAACATTTCCAGCAACACTGAAAACCCTCTCGGATGGTGCGCTCGTTGCACTTTACGCACACGTACTTGCGTGCGACTGGCGAGCAAAGGGAATCTCTCCCGGTTGTTGCTCCACCATGTCAGGGGGGTTTCTTTAGGGTGGATGCATTCCTCCTGCAGGTAGCGAGTGAGCTCCAGCTCGGCTCAAACTCTCTTCAGGACGGTTGCAGAAGCAGTGCTTGTCCGGGACTTCAGCAGGTCTCCGAGCGTTTATTATTATTTTTTGCCGCTGGTGGCAGCTCTGTCTCGGCCAAGGACTCTGGCTGCGCAGCAGCTGACGTACTGAAAACCAAAGTGCTCCCAAAGGAGCGAAGTAACGTTTCGTTTTGATACCAGTGCAGCCATCCTTCTCAACATGCATCATTGAGTTGAACCAAGTTCAGTAATCGCGGTGGCCCATGATGCAGCGCGGTGGGCTTCTTCATATTGCGATATTTCATTTTTGCGGTTACCGCGACAGCCCTATTATTCAGTAGGAGTCAAATTTCAGTTTTGACTCCACTAATGGGAGAATTATTGCCTATTTAAAAAGCACAAAAAACTAAACTAGCACTGACCTTGTCTTGCTGAGCTGAACCCTTACAAACCATGTAGGTCAGATTATTAACTTATTTATTTAACTTCTATTTTATGAGGGTAGAAACCACTTGAGATGTGTCATCTCGTTTTTGAGCGGGTCCTCAGATTATACAACAAAATAGCAGATAAGACAGCAGTCATTTACATAATCATAGCACCATCACTAAATCAGACAAAACACACACACACACACACACACACACACACACACAAAATCCTGCTAAGCTATGGCTCACCGAAAATAATAGCTAGGGTCATCTTTAAAATGCATAATAATAGAAGCAGACCCAGTATACACATGCAGACATGTGCAAATTAGGTGGTGACAGCAAAACAATCACAGAAAGGCAATAAATGCTCGTACAGACAATTTCTAGATAAACAAATTCAAGAAATGGATCTCAAGATTGAAGGTAACTTATTCCAGTCAGAGGGAGCTTTAACACAAAAGGCATGTCTTCTTTTCTAAACCGGGGAATAACAAATGACAGATGATCATTAGATCGAGTTTGATGCTCAGGGATCATGGGCAACACCCACACTTTTCCAGCTGTTTTGCTCACCTCCACACCAGTCTGGTTTCTTTGCGTCGCACTCACTCTGTTTGCCTCATCTCCTTCTTCACCTCCCGCTTCTGACAGCCGATGTCGGGTTTCCAGGAGAGCAGGAGAGGGAGGGACGGAAGAGCTCGACTGAATTCATAATTTTACATCTTGACATTAGCTGTACAAAGTCTGAGTTTGATAAAGTGAAGAACAACAATTTGCAGAGGTTTATAACAGGCGCGGCACCAGGTTTTCATTTTTGGGTGGGCCACGGTAATTCTGGATGGACCTTAATAAGCAGTGACTTAAGTGAAGCAGGCAGGTCGCGCTAGAAAATTTAGTTTAAAAAGACGTCATAAATGTTTTACCCCGTCATTTTTATTTATAAAATATGAAGTAAAAACTCCCAGTTTAATTTTAATTCATTTGTCATTAATATGTAGTCTACACCCGTGCGTTAAGTGGACCATCTTCCAGTAAAAGCAAAGCATCCAGCTCACCTCTCCAAATGCGTAAAATGTGCATCAGCCGCTAGTTAGGCGCGCCGCGCGCACCGTCAGCTACATCAGCCCAGACAAGAGCAGAGCAACTAGAGACAGAATAGAGGATAATTGTGTCTGGATGTGGATGGAGATTACATTTTACAGCAGCCTGATCAGCATTTAAATACGTAAACCATCACCTGTCTTCTAGTCCACGCTTTCAGCATTATTTTAATTGTTGTGTGTGTGTGTGTGTGTGTGTGTGTGTGTGTGTGTGTGTGTGTGTGTGTGTGTGTGTGTGTGTGTGTGTGTGTGTGCGCGTGTGCGTGTGCGTGCGCGTGCGTGTGCGTGCGTGCGCGTGCGTGCGTGTTTTCCACTTCAAACACTGGTCTAACCAACCAGACCACCGTGTCCAGTAACATATTAATGTTACACTTCATGTAGGCTAGGAACATTTCACCTGCCGTGGCCCGACCGCTTCTGCTCCACATAAACTTTGTGCGTGATCAAATATCTCTACAGGTGCTTTCTGAGCTGAAGAGGCTATTCTGCCTCAGACTGGATGCGTCTCCATATTAGAGACGGGAACAAGCGCTGTTCAGCCAAAGTATCATAATCAGAGAATATTTTTCCAAGTGACACATCCCTCAGAGAAACAGGGTCTCCAGACTGCTTCAGTGGGAGGAAATCTTACCGTATCGCCGTGGTTCTGCTCTGCACTGCGATCCCCTCTACAGATCTTCAGCCCACTGTCCACCGTGGGCGCTCCGAGCCGCGCTGAACACAGTGTCCAGTATAAAGCTCTGATGTTCTGATGGGAATCATTTCTTGATTGATTTAGTTACCTCCGCGATGTGCGTAACGATTAAAATGTCAGCTCATCCATGTGCATCAGTGTGCGTCGGGGTAATTCTTTCCAAACAACCAACATCCTTGAGTTTATCCGTCAAAATAAACAGTCAAATGTAAATATCTGTAACCTGCCATTTAACTGTTTTACCTTCTTGTGAAGATTGTTGCAAAGAGAAACAACTAAACTTGATTAACCCCAGAGCCACGCGCACTGCGCTGTACTGACTGTAAATGAGGGGAAACGATTTAATCGGATCCTTTTCTTTTCAACATGGTTTAATGTAAAGTTTCATTCAGTACAGACTTTAGTTACACCAATCTAACGAGACAGAGCCTGGATTTGTATTCTGAACAGTTTAAACATGTTTAAAACTGAGACATGTGTGACACGTCTAAAGTTCACACCTGCTCCGCTATTATGGAAATTAAACTAACAAGATGAATAACATGAAATTATTTTAGGCACAGAAAACATCCCCCACACTTTTGAAAAGTTTGCAATGCACCTGTCATGGACTACAGGAACTAGCAAGGCTTTTAAATAAGAAGGAAAATCAGAGTGAGTACATTTAAAAATAAAAAGCAACCTATGAAGTTGACATCTAGCTTTCAGTGAGTACCACGAAAGGCAATGATGGGTTCTGAACGGACAACGTAAAACAAAACGACAAACACTGTTGTAGATAACATCCAGCGAATGAAGACATGTGGAGGTAGAGTTCGGATAGCTTAAATCTGCATAATCGAAAATAGGAAGCAGAAGCTGAGTTGCAATACGTTTCCGTGCTGCAAGGTCAAAACAGTTAATAGAACGGTACAGTGTTTGTAAAAAACTGGTCACCTTATGAGAAACTGGCTGGATATGATTTTTGAATGATAAATCCAAACTCTTAAGTATTTTAATTTCTCAGTGGAATGTACTTCTGAGTGGTCCAAAAAATGTAGTTGCAGATTCCAATATCTTCTAAACAGCATTGAATATGTTTTAGATTAATTAAGGATGAGTTTATTTTGAGTTAGCCAGATTATTAATCTGCTCTACTTGTGATCAAAGTTCACCAGCAGAACTGAAATATTGTCAATCATTTTAAAAAAGTTGTGTGTGTGTGTGTGTGTGTGTGTGTGTGTGTGTGTGTGTGTGTGTGTGTGTGTGTGTGTGTGTGCGTGTGTGCGTGTGTGTGTGTGTGTGTGCGTGTGTGCGTGTGTGTGCGTGTGTGCGTGCGTGCGTGCATGCGTGCGTGAAGAACAAAACACAGGCTCCTGATGAGTTACTTTCTCACTCGACTGTAGATTGTTTTACTCGTTATTGTAATGAGTTGCCTGAAGATGAGAGCACTTCTCAGTTTTTTGTTTTTTAGGATGTAAACTTAAAATAAAAATCCAGACAAGAGTTTTGTTTTACTGTTATCATCTCATCTGCACCTAACTTTAACTAACTTTACAGCCTGTTATTTATAGCGTCAGGTCCAGACCTACTTAGCTGATACTCTGATTATATTTTAGGGATGTCCTGTTCCAATATCAATATCAGAAGTAATTCAATATCAGCCGAAAAACACCGTATCGTATAATGTCGGACTGCATCACATTTTCGCAACCAATGGTTAAAACAATTTGCCATTTTTTTCATACTTGCTGTTATTGGTTCTTGTTCTCCAATTGAGTAATATCACTTGATCAAGCCTTTCATACATTCCACACTAGAAAATAGGTAAAAGTATGATTTGTGCTGATATCGTATCAGATTGATATCGGTATCGGTCAATACTGAAGGCTGCAATATGGGTATCGTATCGGGACATCCCTATTATATTTTCCTTCTCCAACTAGAACCAGCCAGTTGGGTTTATTTTAAAATGAGGAGCCCACTTATTGTTTTTCTTCAACTTAAACAAGATATTTAAACATATTTTAGAAGCTTTTGTTGTGTTCTGTTCAGCAAACTTAAACATAGACACACCTGTTCCTGTAGGATTGTGTAAACTGGGACAAAGTCGGAGAATTAACTTTTTATTTTTTTTAACTGGAAATCATGAATCAAACTTTTGGTTCTTTTGAAGTTTTAGCCAAGCTCATGGTCTGACATTAGAGGTAAAGTTGGCTCTTTTGGGGTTAGGATAACAGACAGACAGAGTCCTGTATGATGCTGTAAGCAGAATCACATGCAACTCGTGGACGTGGTTATTAACAGAAGCAACAGCTGCCAGCAGCAACAGGGAATGATCTGAATGTGTGTGTGCGTGCATGTGTGTTCTGCAGGGTACATGTGTTGTAATTCCGTACTGGACAAGGATGGAGTGAGTGCTGCAGCCATCGCAGGAGAGATGGTTGCTTATCTGGCTACCAAAACCAAAAGTCTCTCTCAGCAGCTCACCGCCATCTTTGAAGAGTAAGATGCTCCTATGTGTAGGTTTCCTTTAAGGGGAAGGTGTTCTACTTATATTAGCCTCACTTTTCTCTGTCAGGTATGGCTACCACATCAGCAAGAATTCCTACTTCATCTGCCATGACCAGGACGTGATCTGCAGCCTGTTTGAGCGTCTGCGCAACTTTGGCGGCAAGACGGAATCGTATCCCACCAAATGTGGTCGCTTTTCCATCTCTGCTGTTCGAGACCTGACCACTGGATACGACAGCAGCCAGCCAGACAAGAAGGCTGTGAGGACGGACACACACACACACACACACACACACACACACACACACACACACACACACACACACACACACACACACACACACACACATTTGATAGATAAAATGAAAGAAAATGACCTGGGGTCTCATTTATCAAACATTGCGTAGAATCCTTACTAAAACGCAAAACAAAAGATCCTGGTGATCAACTGAAATTTCAGGAATTACTGTCCTCATTCTCTGCCAGCATCACTGATGCAAAGAAAGCTTTCTACACTGACAAAATTCTCAGCTCTACTGACTCTCAGAAACTGTTTTCAACATTCAAAACTCTGCTCAACCCTCCATCTCCACCTCCTACCAACAATCTATCAGCTGACACCTTTGCCTCATTCTTCACTGACAAAGTGGCAGCTTTAAGCAAACAGTTTACTCAACTGGCCACTCCTGAACATTCACTACCACAAACTCCTTCTAGCCCAACCATCTCAAGCCATACTGCTTCATTTTACTCTTTTCCCCTCTCTCTGAGAACTGTGTGTCCACGCTTCTCACGTGCAGCCGCCCTACTACATGTCCACTTGACCCAGTTCCGACTAAGCTGCTCCAAGCTATTGCTCCTACAGTAGCCGCAGCGGTCACACATGTGATCAACGCTTCACTGACATCCGGTACATTTCCCACCTCTCAAGCATGCTCAGGTTAAACCGCTGCTAAAAAAACCCATCTCTTCCTCCGAATCATGTGGAGAACTACCGACCTATCTCTCTCCTCCCTTTTCTGTCCAAAATCATTGAAAGGGTGGCTTTCAAGCAGATCACAGAATACCTCTCACAGAACTGTCTGCTTGACCCGTACCAATCTGGGTTCACAAAGGGCCACTCCACTGAAACTGCTCTGTTAGCAGTGACTGAATCATTAAAAGATGCTAGAGCGACTGCCATATCCTCAGTGCTTTTCCTGCTCGACTTATCGGCTGCATTTGACACTGTCAACCATGGCTTCCTTTTGTCCACACTCTAGCATGGGCATCACAGAGAAAGCACACGCCTGGTTTGAATCGTACCTCACAGGACGATCATTCAGTGTATCTTGGCTTGGACCAGGGGTCGGCAACCCGCGGCTCTGGAGCCGCATGTGTCTCTTTCATCCATCTGATGCGGCTCTCTGCTTGTAAACAAATTAAAGAATATTTAATTACAATGTATTTTATTTATATTTTCATCTGTAGCCAATTCTAAATTTAAAGATTGTCTGCGTAAACGTGAACAGGTCACCTGCTTGTGCGTAATCAAATGTCTATAGGAGCTTTCTGAGCTGGATATGAGATTCTGGACTGTTCCTCAGACAGGCTCATGGATGCATCGCAGTGTTGGAGACAGGAACAGGCGCTATTCAGCCAAAGATTCATAATCAGGGAACATTTTTTAAGTGACAAGTCTCTGAGAGACCGGGTTTAGAACACACAGAATCTTCCTGCATGGTTCTGGTTCTGTGACGCGCTCCAAGCTCCTGATCTATCTTCAGCTCGCTGTCCACGTTATGCATACGCTGACAGTGAGCTGCGCTGAGCTCAGTGTCCATCTCAGATGTTCTGATGGGAATCTTTTCCTGATAGATGTAGCTACCTCCACGATGTGCGTTAAAATGCCAGCGCATCTGTGTCACGAACTCATCCCGCTGACTTCATTTTCCAGCATTCTCGCCACCATTTGCCATCATTCCTGCCACCAACGTGGCGGCTGACGTCATCACGCCGACACTACTTAAGGAAGTGCCGGCGTTTCATTCATTACTCAGTCATCGTTCTCACCAGACTTTGTATCGAGTCTCCAGGCTTACCAGCCCTCTAACCTTCAATCCAAACCTACAGGAGATAACTATGCAGGTTATTTGCACCACTCCGCGTCTGGGCAACAGATCCTCTCAGTCACGCTTCAGATCTGCCAACGAACCTGACAGGATGACTGAGTTCCAAGTTGTCCCAGCGGAGTTCGCGCGTCTGCGTGTTGAAGTGGCTCAACAGCGCGCAACCATGGATCAACAGACGGCAGAGATAAGCCAGCTCCGTGCCGAGATGAACCAGTTTCATGCCGTAGCTGATCGCCAAGCCACAAAGATTGAGTCTCTCACCGAGCTAGTTCTCCAGCTGTCCACCGCTCTGCAACGACAGACCACAGCCGTCACCGACAGGATGGAACCACGCCTCAGCCTTCCAGAGAAGTGGGACGGAACCAGAGGATCCCCGGAGGGCATACTAGCGACCCCGGCCATGACTTTCGAGTGCCAGCTGGCTCGCTACCCCACATCCTGCTCTCGTGTCGCCCTGCTGACCTCACTGCTGACAGGTCGAGCAGGTGAATGGGCGGCGGCTCTTTACAATCAGAAATCTCCTGCCTGCAATGACTATGAGACTTTTGTAAAGGAGATGAAAAAGACTTTCGTGCACCCCAGCAGCGAGGTCTCTGACGAGACTCGGCTGCTTCAGCTCCGTCAGGGCTCCCAGACGGCGGCTCAGTACACCTCTCGCTTCCGGACGACAGCCGCTCGGTTGAGGTGGGATGACGCCGCCCTAAAGGCCGTTTACCTGGAGGGATTGTCACCAAGAATCCGGGAGGGCATGATCGGGCACGAGGCCCCAACCTCCCTGGACCTGGCAGTGGATCTGGCTCTCCAACTGGACCGCTGCATCCTGAACCGGCCAAGCACCATGTCAGCCCCCGTACACACCAGGACGTGACCCCGCCGTCCGGCTCACGAACCGACGGAAAAGCCGATGCAGCTCGGACATCTTCCCCCTGAGGAACGGGCACGGCGCTATCAGGAGGGAAGATGCGCTTACTGTGGGGATTTGGGTCACCATCGTGGCACGTGCCCAAAACGACCGGGAAACGGTCCCTCTGGGTCGGAGTAGGGGCTGTCCCGCCCGGAGTCTCCACTTTTCCGGCTCCACACCGAACCACTCTCCCGGTCTCCCTCCACCTGGACCAAGGCCCGACCAGACTAGAGGCACTTTTAGACACCGGGGCTGCGGAGTGTTTTATCGATCACGGACTGGTTACTCGGCTCAAGATACCCCTCACCGCCCTCGACCGACCCATTCCTGTGACCTCTGTGGACGGCCGGCCCATTATGCCGTACCCTCTCACCCACCGAACCCAGGGTCTCCACATGACTATTGACCAACACCTGGAGACCCTCCACTTCCTGTTCATCCAGGCTCCGGCTACGCCACTCATCCTGGGTCATTCCTGGTTCTGCCGTCATGAGCCTCACATCTCCTGGTCCACCAGTAAGGTCCTGGCCTGGGGTATGGGTTGCCATAATCACCAGGGCTCCCCTGCACCTCGGACTGGAGCAGCCCCTCCCACAGACGTAGACCTGACGCTCATCCCTCCTCAATACCACGACCTCGCTCAGGTCTTTGCTAAAGAACCCACTACCAGGTTACCTCCTCATCGACCCTACGACCTGGAGATCAGGCTCCAGCCCGCCCCCCCCCCCCCCCCCCCCGGGGTCGCCTGTTCTCCCTCTCTCCGGCGGAGACCTGGGCTATGGACAATTATATAACTGATGCCCTCCAGAAGGGATTCATCCGTCCCTCAACATTCCCCGGGGCCGTGGGGTTTTTCTTTGTAAAGAAGAAGGAGGGGGATCTCTGGCCCTGTATTGACTATCGAGGGTTAAATAAAATAACGATCAGGGACCGTCACCCTCTCCCTCTCATGGGCACCGCCCTGGACGCCATCACACAAGCCGCTGTATTTACTAAACTGGACCTGTGCAGCGCTTACAACCTCATCCGTATTAAGGAGGGTGAGGAGTGGAAGACCGCTTTTATCACGCCCACTGGCCACTATGAATATCTGGTGATGCCTTTTGGCCTCTGCAACAGCCCCGCCGTCTTCCAGCGGTTCATTACAGATGTGCTGAGAGACATGTTGGGCCGCTGGGTCTTTGTTTATCTAGATGACATTCTCATCTACTCCCGCACGGCCGAAGAGCACATCCGGCATGTTCGAGCTGTTCTGTCCCGCCTCCTGGACCATGGACTTTACTGCAAACTGGAGAAGTATGCGTTTCACCAGGAGTCCACCTCCTTCCTGGGTTTTACCATCTCCTCCCGGGGCCTGAAGATGGGCCCTCAGAAGGTTCAGGCAGTAGCTCAGTGGCCTCTACCCACGACCCTGAAGCAGCTGCAAAGCTTCCTGGGTTTCTCAAACTTTTATCGGAGGTTTATACGCAACTTCAGTTCCCTCGCAGCGCGTCTGACCTAACTCACCAAAACCACCAATCAGCCTCGCCCTTTTCGCCTTACTCCAGAGGCTGTCCGTGCTTTCCATGAGCTGGTTGGACGTTTCACTAAAGAACCCATCCTCCTCCACCCGGACCAGACCCGGCCCTTCGTCGTGGAGGTGGACGCCTCTGATGTGGGAGCGGGTGCCGTTCTCTCGCAACGGGGTCCAGACTCTAAGCTCCACCCATGCGCCTACTTCTCCCGGAAGTTTTCCCCCACACAGCAGAACTACGGGGTCAGTGACAGAGAGCTGCTGGCTATAAAATGGGCTCTGGAGGAATGGAGGCAGTGGCTCCTGGGGACCACCGATCCCTTTCTGATCTGGACCGACCACCAGAATCTCATTCATCTACAGACTGCCCGCCAACTCAACCCTCGTCAGGCTCGGTGGGCCCTCTTTTTCGAGCCGTACCACTTCCATATCGCCTACCGGCCCGGCTCCAAGAACCTCAAGGCGGACGCTCTCTCTCGGCATTTCGCACCAGATGCCGGCCCCCCGAGCCTCGGACCGTTCAACCGACTCAACGCTTCCTGGCCTCCCTCCAGTGGCCGTTGGAGCAGTCCATACGGGCAGCACTTCCTGGCGATCCGGCGCCACCGGAGACTCCACCGAACCGTCTCTACGTTCCCGCCTCCTGCCGACAAGAGGCACTCACATGGGGGTATTGTTCACAGCTCGCGGGACATCAAGGACAAGCCCGTACCCTCCAGTTCCTCCGTCGGGCTCTCTGGTGGCCGTCCATGAGGAAGGACGTCCGCGAGTTCACCGCGGCATGTGATGTGTGTGCTCGCTCCAAGTCCTCCAACCAACCTGGCGCTGGAGAGTTACAGCCTCTCCCTGTGCCCAAGCGGTCGTGGTCACACATCGGGCTGGACTTTGTCACGGGACTGCCGGCTGTCGACCACCTGGACACCATATTGACCATCACAGACCGTTTCTCCAAGGCCGTGCACTTAGTGGCTCTGGCCGGCCTCCCTACTGCCAAGAGGACGGCCGAACTGCTCCTAGAACAGGTGGTGCGGCTCCATGGTTTCCCTCAGGACGTGGTTTCCGATCGAGGACCCCAGTTCGTCTCACGCTTCTGGAAAGCGTCCTGTCGCCTGGTCGGTGCTTCCACCAGCCTGTCCTCTGGGTACCATCCGCAGACAAACGGTCAGACGGAGAGAGCTAACCAGCAGCTTGGATGCTACCTGCGCTGCTTCGCTTCGTCCCAGCCGACCACCTGGCCCCGCTTCCTCCTGTGGGCGGAGCTGTCACACAACCTCCAGACCTCCTCTGCCACGAGTCCGTCTCCCTTCGAGACCTGTTACGGGTACCAGCCTCCTCCGTTTGACCATCAGGTGCCCGAGGTGGAGGTCCCTGCTGCCCAGACGCTGGTCCGCCACTGTCGGCTCGCCTGGATCCGGGCCCGTGCGGCCATCACCCGGGCCAACACGGAGTATGCCCGTCAGCATCGCCGCCGCCACCGGCCTGGCCCCGTCTTCCGGTCTGGCGACCAGGTGTGGCTCTCCGCCGCTAACCTGAGGATGCCGGCTGGCTCCCGGCAACTCACTCCTCGCTTCTTGGGTCCGTTCCCTGTCCTCAGGGTCATCAATCCAGTCACCTACCGTCTGCGCCTCCCGGCTACTCTCCGGATCCACCCGGTCTTTCACGTCTCCCAGCTGAAGCCGGTGATCTCCTCTCCTCTGCACCCTCCACCGGCCCGGGTGCCTCCGCCCCGCAGCGTTGAGGCGGATCGCACTTACACGGTCCGCAGGATTCTGGACGCTCGCCGCTGGGGACGAGGTTGGCAGTACCTCGTGGACTGGGAGGGGTACGGGCCTGAGGAACGCTCTTGGGAGCCCACAAGCTCATTTGTCGACCCTACCCTGCTGACTGACTTCTGGGCCCGCCGTCCTGGGACTTCGGGAGCCGTCCCTGGCTGACGTCATCACGCCGACACTACTTAAGGAAGTGCCGGCGTTTCATTCATTACTCAGTCATCGTTCTCACCAGACTTTGTATCAAGTCTCCAGGCTTACCAGCCCTCTAACCTTCAATCCAAACCTACAGGAGATAACCACGCAGGTTATTTCCACCACTCCGCGTCTGGGCAACAGATCCTCTCAGTCACGCTTCAGATTTGCCAACGACCCTGACAATCTGCAGGCTTGAGATTTCTCCATCAAAATAAATACGGGAAACATCGGGACAGTGCGAACCCTGTCATTTAACCATTTTACCTTCTAGTGAAGATTGTTGCAAACAGAAACATTAAACCTGATGAACACCCAGGCCACCACACTGCGCCGTTATCTCCGTCAATGTAAACGAAACAAAAACTAATTACCTTTTCAACAATGTTTAATGCAAAGTTTAGTTCAGTACAATGTTGAATTACAACAGTCGAACGAGACAGAGCCTGTATTTGTATTCTGAACAGTTATGTGTGATGCCTCAAAAAGCGTCACCTGCTCAACTATTAAAACCACTAGCAGGGTGAAAAAAATCGAAATATTGTAGCACAGACGGGCTACAACTTTTGGATCAATTTTATACAAACTGTTTTATTAATTATCTTCTGTTGAAAGATAACTTTGAGGTACATGAGCGACTGGTAATGGTTGCCGTCACCTGTTGTGATCGGTTAAAGCAGCTCTCTGCTGTCAGAGGGTAGGCCCTGCCCACAACGCTGCGGCTGCTGCGGCTCCCAGTGTTTTCTTTACTGTGGGAAATGGGTAATAATGGCTCTTTGATTGGGAAAGGTTGCCGACCCCTGTCTTGGACAATCCTCTACCGTGCACCATCTTGCCACAGGAGTCCCCCAGGGCTCTGTACTAGGACCTCTTCTCTTTGCCATATATACCACCTCACTGGGTGAGATCATTCGATCACATGGCTTCTCCTACCACTGCTATGTAGACGACACCCAGCTCTATCTGTCATTTCCACCGGACGACCACACTGTCTGCACGAATATCAGACTGTCTCTCTGACATATCAAAATGGATGAAATCCCACCATCTCCAATTCAACCTCTCTAAAACTGAACTACTTGTCATCCCAGCAAAACCATCCATACAGCACAATATCTCAATCCAAAATGACTTCCTATCTCTGGCTCCTTCAAAGGCTGTTCGAAATCTGGGTGTTGTGATTGATGAACACCTGACCTTTAAAGATCATGTTGCCTCTGTTGCTCATTCATGCCGCTTTGCGCTGTATAACATACGAAAGATCAGGCCATACCTAACACAACATGCCACCCAGCTCCTGGTGCAACCTACTGTCATCTCCCGCCTCGATTACTGCAATGCCCTTCTAACTGGTCTTCCAGCCTGTACTGTGAGACCTCTTCAAATGGTCCAGAACGCAGCGGCGCGTCTGGTCTTCAATCAGCCAAAAAGAGCACACGTCACCCCTCTGTTCAATGAGCTCCACTGGCTACGCATCAAATTCAAATTGCTAACACTAGCATACAAAGTCCGAGATGGTACGGCTCCCATCTACCTGAATCCTCTTGCAAAGGCTTACATCTCAGCCCGGCCGCTCCGGTCATCACAGGGTCGTCGGCTAGCAGTGCCTACACCACGCTCAGGACAATCCAGACTCTTCTCATGCATCATTCCACAAATGTGGAATGACCTTCCAAGCACTAGCAGAACAGGGGCTTTCTTTTCAATTTTCAAGAAACTCCTGAAGACCCTGCTCTTCAGAGAGCATCTTCTTAACTAGCTCCCTCCCTGCACCCGTCCCCCCCTCTCTACTGTCCACTCCTTGTTCCCTACTCTCCATGACTGATGTCAAGTTGTTGTTGTAATTGTTGTTGTTAGCCTTAAGGGCAACATGCCGATTATCACTTGTAAGTCGCTTTGGACAAAAGTGTCTGCTAAATACATAAACATAAAACCGTACTTAAACTCAGCAAAAAAAAAATGTGCTTACGCCAAGTAGGTTTGTGATCTATCAAACATGGAGTACGCACAGCTGCACGTAATCTCTGCTTCATAAATCAGAAACTATCTAGAAAGGTTCTCAACTGCTTTTTAGTCACATCCCGCCCTCACCACGCCCACTTACTGCCATAAATAGTCAATGCAAAGTGCCTTGTGGATCTCATGCATATACATAAGCTGGCTGTTGCAGCGCTCCGCCAATGACATGGCGACCGTAGATCACGGAAGATCAAGGAAACGCAATTTCACAAGCAGAAGTTGAGATACTTGTGGGTGAGGGAGAAATGAAAGGAAGTGCTTTTGCAAAACAAATAAGAGAAAATCCACGGAGTGGCACAGCGTTGCTGAAGCCGTCATTGTTGTGAATTCTTCAGAGATCTGTGGCGGATACAAAAAAATGGTCCAATCGGGATTCGATTCCCAGACTCCCAGCTGAAAGTCACGTGCGCTAACCAGTCAGCCAAACAGAGATCTCTCCTGTTCAACTCGCCAGGGCGCATGATCAATCGGGTCACAGTGACAGGACACACACACTGTCACAGACGCATGACATTCTGTCTCAATCTGTCCCCCTGCTGATATTCTGCCTTCCGTATTCTGCGCTTCAGGCTGTGTGTGTGTGTGTGTGTGTGCACGCATGTGTGTGAGAGTGCATGCATGTGTGTGCGCGCGCGTGTGTGCGCGTGGGGGGTCTTGTTCTGTGTGAAAACGAAGCGGTACAACTGATAATGCTGCAGGATTTCATAATATTATCCTTCTCAGCAGCAGCACTACAGGTGCTCTCCATGTCCAAAATGTGTGTAAGCCAGGTCCTTAGTCAATTTAAAGTTGCGCACATTTTTCCGCTAAATTTTCTTTCATAAATCCCAAAGTTTGCGTGGAAAGTTGCTTACGCAGTTTTCCGACCCCGTTTTGTGCGTAAGCAAGCCTGATAAATGAGGCCCCTGCTTCACAGTTTTATAAAACTTCTATCTTTTTGTCAATTTTCCTCCTTTTACTCATACAGGTTCTTCCCACCTCCAATTCCAGTCAGATGATCACCTTCAGCTTCTCCAATGGGGGTGTAGCCACAATGAGGACCAGTGGCACTGAACCAAAAATCAAATACTACACAGAGCTCTGTGCAGCTCCTGGAAACAGGTGGGTTACTGTAGAGGCAAGAGAGTGGAGTGATTCATACAGCACCTATAGGGAGCCCAAGTCTCCTCCCTTTTCGGTTGGCTCATGGGTCCTTGGAAGAACGAAAAAATGAATGCAAGTCAAAGATGCTAAAAGAGCCATTTTCTAATCTGCTTTGCCCTACGCTCTGGGTCGCATAGATGTTGTACTTCACTTGAAATGAAAAGAGTGTTTTTTGACCATGTCGGTCACGTACTTTAAGATTTATCAGCTTGGAAAAATTTGTAATTCCAATGATTACTAATCAGTCTTCAGCACGTTGTGTATCATCATCACAGAATCTCGTCTCCCGTAGCGTAGCTGCTACTTATCACATGGCGAGATTTATGATGCTTGTTTCCTCCTGAGGGAGCGACTGGAAGCTTGCTGAACTTACAGCTGTTTGTCCTCAGTTCTTCTCTGTGGCTGGTTTGATGACATCAATTTGGTGGGGCGCAATTGTAGTCCTGGACGTTTTTTCACACAAAATCTAAAATAACTTTAGCTCCCATTCGAAAATTTGCACATTCTTAGCATCTGAATGTGTCTTTAAAATTCATGGACATAATTTTTGAAATCCATGGAACATGATTAGAAAATAGCCTTTTTAGCCCCATTGACTTGCATTCATTTTTTCGTTCTTCTTGGGACCCATGGTCCGAAAGAAGATGGACAAGAATGAATTCTAACACTAATATACAGTAATTATGTCCTGACTTTTATATCTTTACTTTGGTGTTAACCAGTGATGTGACACATCTGAAGAAGGAGCTGGATGACCTGGTTGACGCCATCATTGACGACTTCTTTGAGCCTATAAAGAACAAGCTTCAGCCCAAACAAGAGTAGGACAAATGAGGACCAGTGTCTATGACCTGCACTTAATGTGTCTTAATTACTTCAGAGATGACCTAGACTTTTAATTTCAGTGACACTTTTGCCAGTTTTAAATTCCTTTTTAGGGGGTATTTAGACCAGTTAATACAACAAATGACCCTGTGTGGCAACATGTGTCTTCAGCTTTGAATTTGTGTTGCTATTCGTCTGTTTTGAGGCTTGTAATGAAAAATTTATTTGATTGTATTTAGCAGAATTTAAATTTAAATTTGATGCACTTTGTTCTCAAAATTTGACCACAGCTGTAAATTATTTTGCCACAGTCATTCCTGTTTCCAGATAGTCATGAGGTAAACTCACTGCTTTATATGACATCTGTATAACCAAATGCATTCCAGTTTAACACTGTGCGTGTGGTGTAGAGTAACAAACACTGTATCAGATGGTACTCGGCGTAGTAAAACTGCTCCTAAACCTTTAAGGCATCTTTCTAAAGTGTTGCACTGGACTTGATCACAGTTTTGACCTTCAGTCCTTCTCGAGATCAGACAAATGTTATATAAAATACTGATCTTATCTTCTATTTCCATCCAAAAAGGCTTCAGCCATACCCACTAATCTTCATAATTTATATAAATGCTTTAAAAACATACAAGAAACCTATACTATATGCTATTGACAGTATACAAGTTTTAAGTACCAAACAAATACATATGCCCCCAAATATACTTGTTAGACGTGTAGAGAATGTTTAATTAGATCAAATTAAGCATCATGAATAACATTCCTAATCAAAACCAGCATTGAAACCTAGGATGGGTTTTATCACCATAAGTACAGAGTATTGGGCTTTAAACAGTGTCTAATACCATAAACATTACTCATCCTGAGAAGGACGGAGGGCTAAAACTTTGATCCATTAGCTGGAGGGTGCTACACCTTTCAACATTTTACAATATTGTTTTATTTATTTATTTATTTTTGCAGATAAACAATTATACTGTATACACAACCAAATATGAGTTTGGGATCAACTGCAAATGTTCATAGGATAAGGCATAAAATGTGTCTTATTAGAAAATGTAAGAAACGCCTGGTAGACCTCGGTCATTCTGGTTGACAGTTATGGATTTTACCTCGTCTGCAGACTAAGCTGGCCACTCTGGCACAGACAGAATACGGTGTATTTAAATATTTCTAAAACATTTTGGTAGAGTCTTTTGGGTTGTTATCCTGTTGCGGGGCTAAATTAGCCCTAGTTGGCAGAATCCTGAACGTAATGACCAGTCTTCTGAGATGTTCCGGGGTAATATCTCATCAGATTACTATGAACACTTGTCAGCCAGAATGCCTGATGTCTGCCAGGCTGGATTTGCTGCAAAAGTATAAAATCTAAGAAAACATTCATCATTTCCATTATATTACTGACTCAGTGTGTGCATATACTATTCATTTGGTACATTCCCTATTCAGACCTGTTCATGACCTCACTTTAGAACAGCAGTGTACACATTACACACTTTACATATGTGCCATGGGAAGGGAAACAAGATTTACGGAGAAATGTCAACCTCAAGTCTTAGAACGCCACGAGGTGGAGACATTATGCATTGCCTTTCATACAACCACTGTTCTCTTTTGGTTCAATTGAGTCGAAACCTGCTTATTCTGCCATTAACACCACTCTGTGTCTGAGGAGTGAAATACTGTGCTTGTAAGCTTTTTATTTTCAAATAAAATACGATTTTCCTTCAAAATTGCCACAACTTTGAGTGATAAAGTAAAAATTGACAACTAAGTGTAGTTACTAATTGTCACCAGGTGTGTAGATGTGCCCTCTTTCATCTTCCGGCAGCGCACGCGGGCATCATGCGCATGCCATGCAGAAGAGGGAGGTCTGACTGGCCCTGTCTGCTATATTTAACCCGAGTTAAAGACGGAGAGCTGCAAAGGTCTTGTGTAGCCTGGACAGGAGGGGACTAACAGGTAAGACAGGCGGAGATGAAATCACTGCGCAACTTCTGCGTTGCGCACTTTTCCTTTAGTAAACTGTAAGCGTTCGGCTTGTGTTGTGGGCTGTCTTTTGCTGCTCCAACCATAAACCTTAAACAACAGGACATTAGCTCCTTTAATACATCCGTTTGACCCGCGTGTCCCCGCAGACTGAATTGGACATTTTAAATATGCAAGGTCAGCGACCGGGAGGTGAGTACGGAGCCGCTTTGTTCTCGTGTCTGTCATCAGTAGATGTTATATTCAGGTTATTTCTGGAGACGTCATATCGCGTCAATATTGATGACGTCAGTTCAATTCAAGTTTATTTATATAGCGCCAAATAGCGACAAGAGTCGTCTCAAGGCACATCACATAATAAACATTCCAATTCAGGTCAGTTCATTAAGCCAATCAGAAATAATGTTTCCTATATAAGGAACCCAGAAAATTGCATCAAGTATACAGCAATCCTCATACTAGGCAAGCATGCAGTGACAGTGGAGAGGAAAACTCCATTTTAACAGTAAGAAACCACCAGAGAATCCTGGCTCAGTATAAGCAGCCATCCTCCACGACTCACTGGGGATCGAGAAGACAGAGCACACACACGCACACACACAATAATGTGTCTATAGTTCTACTGTGATGTCTTAGTAAATATTCTATTTGGTGAGAGATAAACTTTATTGTATTTATCCTAGTGGATCTATAATTAAACGGGTAAACTAGTAGTAGCACATCCAACGTCAAGGAAAGCTAAAAGTTATGATAATGATAATTTATCCTCCTGTTATTTATCAGGAGAGGGAGAATGTTTAAGTGGTTAGCAGCAGTGTGCTAGACGATGGCCCCCTCCATGAGGCCACCACAGCTCAGCAGAACATTGTTGTAGCTTCTTCTGGGGAGAAAAACACTTGGAGAGAAAATAAGGTTAACAGCTGAAATAGCAGAAAATAATACAGTTAAAGAGCAGACTGTAGAATAAAGCAGTAGAGTGTGGAAAGTGGTCAGTGTGTCCTCCAGCAGTCTAAGCCTATAGCAGCATAACTACAGAGATAACTGGATAATCTATCCTATTTAGATGGAGGCATGTTGGAGGCAGGGCAAGGGAGAGCCGTCTTTACCGACTGTACACTCCACCTCCCTGTACTCCCCCACTTGTCCAGATTTAGGCTAACATCAGATTTTAACCATAGGCCCTATCAGTTCCGTTCAAACCTTATCTAAATGAATGGGTGTTAGCTGAGCTCTTTTCTCAGGAGGCGTATTTATATTACTTATAATATATCAGTCATGTGTATTTGTCCTTGATGCTGTAAAAGGCACTCAGCTGATTTAGTGTGCTGGGAAATGGTTACACATTGTAAGTAGGAATGGCCTACAATGTATATCCTCATATATTTTGGTGTGTGTGTGTGTGTGTGTGTGTGTGTGTATACACTACCGGTTAAAAGTTTTAGAATGCCCCATTTTTTCAGTTATTGCAGTTTGAGTCATTCAAGTCCAATTAATAGCAAGAAATGGTGCAAAGTTAAGTGGTGAACTGCCAGAGGTTAAAAAATAGGTAAGGTTACTCAAAACTGAAAAGCAATGTACATTTCAGAATTATACAAAAAGCCTTTTTTTCAGGGAACACAGCTGTTCTGCAGCAATGGAGGTTGATCAAGCCTTGAAAGCCGGTGCTGCTAATTCCCACAGGTGTTCCAACTTCTCTGGATTACTTCCAACCCCCTCTGTCTGCATAAAAGCAGTGTTGGAATATACCGTACACTTATGAGCATCAGCTGAATGGTATTGTACTGCTGATGATGTGTTGCTACAAAAATGGCGAGGAAAAAAAGCAATTACAATGGAAGAGAGACAGACTATCGTAACACTTATAAATGTAGGTCTTTTCTACAGAGAAATTGCAAAGAAAGGCAAAGTGTCAGTGAGTCCAGTTTCCTTCACCATCAGAGGCACTCAGAAACTGGGGCATACTCTGACAGAAAGAGGTCTGGCAGACCCAAAGCTACAACTGCATCAGAAGACAAGTTTCTGAGCGTTAACAGCTTGCGTGATAGGCGGCTCACAGGACAACCGCTTCAAGCACAGCTTCATAGTGGTCGTAGTGAGCAAGTCTCAGTTGCAACTGTGAAGAGAAGACTTTGAGCTGCAGGTGTGACAGGACGAGTTGCAGCAAGAAAGCCACTGCTAAGACGTCAGAATAAGAGGCTTGCCTGGGCCATGAAACACAGCCATTGGACTACTGAAGACTGGAAGAAGGTACGGACTGATTAATCCAGATTTAAAATCTTCGGTTCATCACGCAGGATCTTTGTACGCCGTCAAGTAGGTGAAAGGATGATTCCACAGTGTGTGGCATCAACTGTCAAACATGGAGGAGGAAGTGTGATGTTCTAGGGCTGTTTTACTGGATCCAGGGTTGGTGACTTCTACAGAGTCCGAGGCACCCCGAACCAAAATGGCTACCACAGCATTCTCCAGCGCCTTGCAGTACCCTCTGGTATGCGCCTAGTTGGTCAGGGGTTCATCCTACAGCAAGATAATGACCCAAAACATACGTCCAAGCTACGCCAGAACTACCTCAGGAAAAAAGCACAAGATAGTAAGTTTGTAAACATGGAGTGGCCAGCACAGTCTCTAGACTTAAACCCCGTCAAGCTGGTTTGGGAAGAACTGGACAGAAGAGTGAAAGCAAAGCAACCTACAAGTGCCACACATTTATGGGAACTTCTGCAACAGATGTGGGAAGAACTTTCTGAAGAATATTTGATTTCTATTGTAGAAAGAATACTACGAGTGTGTTCAGCTGTTATATCTGCCAAAGGTGGCTACTTTGAGTCAAAAGTTTATAATACATTTTGGTCTAGAAATTGATTTATCTTTTTTTAACTCTAAGTTTTAATAATTAAAGTTAGTTTTTGCCTGATTGACCTTGAGCTGATTTTGTGTGTTACAGGTAGGTTGGGGGCATACATCTCTTCTGGTCTCAGAAACCATGGAGGGACTGGTTTTTGAAATGAAGCCAAAGAGAGGTGAAGTCCAGAGAGCTGACAAAACCAGGCGTAATCTAACCCCAAACCACCACTCCTGTCCATCCCTTTCCCATCTCACCTCTTCTCCTCAGACTGTCGAGAAATGTGCTGGTGCTCGGGAGAGAAGCTCGACCTGGAGGGGACAGAAAGATGAGGGGGAGATCAGATATAGACTGATGATGATTGGTTTTCAACCAGTTAGCCACCTGACAACCATGTCAATGCTCCCCTGGGTGGTGGCCGAAATCTGCAGGTGTGTGAAGAAGGACCAGAGTCCTGGAGGGGTGCAGATGGATCCTCTTTCATGTAACAAGACAGTTCTTCTCTATGTATCCATGTCGTCGGTGCGGTGCGTGTCCACTATGGGAGAGCAAAGTCTCTGGGACCCTCTGACACACAACGTACTGTTTGAATGTCGTCCTCACCAAGTTACCAAGCTGATCCACAACAGCCAGGAGCCCAGCATCTTTGCCTGCCTGGTGAGAGACCCACTCGGGTCTGCCTGTTATGTCTTCCAGTGCCTGGACAGCACCAAGGTAGGCATAAATGCAAAAACCTAGAATTAAATCCACTAAATTACCTTCAACATCTTGTTTATGTGCTTGCAGCATGGTAATGACAATTTTCTTTTATTATTTGAAGTATTTATTTCTCTTTGGAATAGAGTATTTTAGTGAAAATCCAGGAAAATTATGCCAAACATTTAAAGTATTTGTTATTTTTAAAATCAGCACATCAACAATGGTTCAGTTTCGGAATGAATCTTTATTTGAGACTGAACAAGAAGTGTAGAACTTGCCTCCGTTATTCTTTGTGGTTTAAATGGACCCAAATGTAAGGCTCAATGAGCGAGAAGCAGCAGGTGGAAAATAAACCACTTCACTGAGCTTCAGGAGTTAAGAATAAACAATGGTAAATCTATAAATAACAGAGTAGATGAGGAACAGGTACTGAGGTAATGATGATGACATACTGAAGAAACCCACACAGCTAATGGAGACTGGGTGTGAGAGGAGAGAGTAAAACTTAAAATAACACAACAACCAGATATGTGTGTATTTATTTTCCTCCACAGCTTGGGGAAACAGTTTGGGTCTCCTTCTAAGACCCTGCTCTTGTTTTGAAATGGCCTTCCCATTATCTGTAAATCTATGATTATTATTCTTTTCAGATCTGCTCAGGGCTCCTTGAGCTCCCTTATCAGGCCATGTGTGGGTAGATGGTTGTTAAACTCTCTTCGTGTTGGCAAAGAGAGAAAGTACCAGTATGTGAATCATAACCACTAATGGTAGACCTCGGGATGAAAAGCGGCTACTGTACCAAACTAAGAAGGATCTTTATGAAAACTACCTGGGAGATGAGAGGTGTTCTTAGCCTCTTTCAACTTTTAACACCATTGACCTACATCTTGTATAATAATCTGAGCAGGGGCCTCATTTATCAAGCTTGCTTACACACAAAACGGGGTCGGAAAACTGCGTAAGCAACTTTCCACGCAAACTTTGGGATTTATCAAAGAAAACTTGGCAGAAAAATGTGCACAACTTTAAGCTGACTAAGGACCTGGCTTACGCACATGTTGGACATGGAGAGCACCTGCAGTGCTGCTGCTGAGAAGATACAGTTATGAAATCCTGCAGCATTATGACTTGTACTGCTTCGTTTTCAGGGGTGTGTCCAGGGGGTGGCCTGGGGTAGCACATGCCAACCTTGGAATCTGATTGGCCACCCTACTGAATTTCCTTTAAATAGACTTATCCACGAAAAGCTTGGGGTAAAAAAGAAAAAGCATAACCATTGGTGCCACCCACGCACAACGAAGTGCACTACCTGGGCCACCCCATTTTAAAAGATCTGGCCACGCCACTGTTCGTTTTCACACAGAACAAGACCCCCCCCACATGCGCACACACACATGCGCACACACACGCAGAATACGGGCAGGGGGACAGATTGAGACAGAATATCGTGTGTGTGTGTGTGTGTGTGTGTGTGTGTGTGTGTGTGTGTGTGTGTGTGTGTGTGTGTGTGTGTGTGTGTGTGTGTGTGTGTGTGTGTGTGTGTGTGTGTGTGTGTGTGTGTGTGTGTGTGTGTGTGTGTGTGTGTGTGTGTGTGTGTGTGTGTGTGTGTGTGTGTGTGTGTGTGTGTGTGTGTGTGTGTGTGCGCGCGTGTGTGCGTGCGCGCGCGCGTCCTGTCACTGTGACCCGATTAATCATGTGCCCTGGCTACTTGGACAAGGGAGATCTTCGTTTGTCTGACAGGTTAGCGCGCGTGACTTTCACCTTGGAGTCCACAGATCGAATCCCGATTGGACCCCTTTTTTAATATATATCAGCCACAGATCTACATTTACATGCAGCCAATATTTGGGTTATGATCAGGTTAAGGTCGGTATTCGGGTTTCTGAGTTGATCAGAATAACCCGTTGTAGTGATCTGTAGTTTGTATATTTATACACTGTAATTAGATCTAAATATTATAATCAGAAGTGGTTGTTTTTATCATCAGGAGTTTACTTAAACACTCTGTATTGACTGAGAGACAAGAAAAGAGAGAGTTGGGATCATTTAAGAATCTTTAATTTCTATAATTATAAATTCTTACAATCTACCAGGACTAACTCTGTGATGTATGCATATGGATCTGAATGTTATCGTGTTGGTGTGTGTGTGTGTGTGTTCAGGATCTCTAGGCTGGCGTAGCGAATCTGGTTGTTATGACTAGGCTACCACGAGGCTTCAGAAACTGATGACATGAGCAGCCATTTTGCCGTAACCACGTACCGTATGGAGCCTCCCGTGTTAGATCAGGAAATGCCAGGTCCTCGGACCTTCAGATGTGCTGGAGCTGGTGAAACAGTGGTCGCAGCACTACAAAGCCCGTCTGAGGGTCGACTCCCAGTAGTAGCGGCAGGCGTCAGCGAGTTCAGCTCTTATTTTGAAGGGACGTCGTCTTGTTGTTCAAACGACGGAAATCTCCAGCTTGACAGTTCTCAGCTTAAAGTAGGAAAGTGCATCTGGCCAGGCTGCACCTTTCTTAATGATGACAATGGAACTCCTTAGGACCTCCAACTGAACAGAACTGAGGTTAAAATGGAACGGAGTTTAAAATGGCATTGGCTTGTTTTATATCCCCTAGTTGTTTACAAATCTTAGTAAACCGGATTGGACAACTTCATTAAACAACCCAGATTCTCTCTACGACAGACGAAAGTTCTGACTGGTTGAGAACAATGTGTCATGCGTTTCCATGTCAATGTAGATCAGTCTGTCTGGTGCAGTCCTGTTTATTCATTAAACACATAACTCATGACATCTTTATTTCACAGATCATTCGCCTGATTATTAATGATCAACATATGCTTTGATTAGCTTTATCACGAATAAAGTACTTTGATTAATTAATGGAAAGCGTTCTTCTTCTCTTCTTCTGTCTCTTCTCCTGGAATGTAAACATACTGAAACCAGCATCCGACCTTGGCGATTCATGCACATTGTTACTGTGTGAAGGGGCAGCTGTTAAGGGCAGACAATAGGATCTTAATAACGCTACACCATTAACAAGCATAAATAGAAAGAGTTACCTCTAACTTGCTTAACCCGATGTAAATGCGGACGTTGGGGTAGCGTCAAGACGTATGGACTACGTCCTGACGCAATATGTGTCATTTCCGGTTCTTCTTGTTCCGGTATCTGTGAAAACAACAACATGTTTCCCAGTTCGGAAGAGAGTGACCGTGTTTGTTTGCGCTTTATGGGCCATTCCCATCTGTACCTGGTCAGCCCGGCCCGGATAGCATAGCTTGCTTACATATCTTGGTGGCCTGCCTTTTTTTCAGGGTGCAACAAGACTGTTTTTCAGCCGTCTTTTTGAGGTGGTCTGCGTCAAGCTGACCAGGGCCAACACACCCACTGCTGACAGCAAATTCACACCTTCCGTTAGAGCAAGCCTCTACTGGTGGGTAGAATCAGCCCACATGCTCAATTCATTATCATGCTGATTACCTAGAAGCTGAAAATGTCTCTGACTGCATTCCTTGCATACCTAATGTGTGGAATCAACCGGGCCAGGCTGGGGCCGACCAGGTACAGATGGGAATGGCCCATTTCCTCGTCACTCCAAAAGTGTGGTGCTGTGCCGCGACTCGCCATGTTGCTCCCAACTTGTTGTTTACTTCCGGTGTTCTGGCGCATACAAGACGTCTCGCTACTCAAAAGACCAAGATTCCTTGCGAACAGAGCATGCGCAGAACACACGCTTTGATGGGGATATCCCGGTATGCGTTTACACGACCAAACATTCGGGTTAGAAAAGGGTTACCCCAGGTGTAGTAACCGGGTTTTTGAGCATATCCGGGTTTTTTGCTGTGTTTACATGGACCTGCGGAACCGGATTATTGTGAATATTCGGGTTTTAAAAGGGTTACTGGCTGCATGTAAACGCATGGCTTCAGCAACACTGTGCCAGTCCATGGATTCTCTCATTTGTTTTGTAAAAGCGCTTCCTTTCATTTCCTTTCATTTCTGCACCTCACCCACAGGTACCTCAACTTCTGCTTGTGAAATTGCACATCCTTGATCTACGGTCGCCATGTCATTGGCGGAGCGCTGCAACAGCTGGCTTATGTATACGCATGAGATCCACAAGGCACTTTGCATTGATTATTTATGGCAGTAAGTGGGCGTGGTGAGGGCGGGATGTGACTAAAATGCAGCTGAGAACCTTTCTAGATAGTTTCTGATTCATGAAGCGGAGATTGCGTGCAGCTGTGCGTACTCCATGTTTGATAGATCACAAACCTACTTGGCGTAAGTACATTTTTTTTGCCGAGCTTGAGTAAGGTTTTAGTAAGGAATCTACATGCAATGTTTGGTAAATGAGACCCCAGGTCTTTAAATGTCTGAAAATTGACATGAATGACTTGCTGATCATGAGCTCTAGAAAACTCTTCCCCCCTTGGGCAGAACAGATATTTAAATTAAGTTCATTGTAATGACTGTGTGTGAGTCATAAACACGTCTACACAACCTCAGGCTATAAATGATGAGATGGTGTGAAAGAGGTTTTACGGGTCAGATGAAGATGAGAATACAGGACAGGGTTCAGTCCAGCAGAATCTTCTCTATATTTATATAGATGACCTAAAGCTGGCTGAGCAATAAGACGGTATCAGAATTTAACACAACATCCTGAGACAAACCGGTTCTGGCACCACTGCATCCCATCCATGATTTTATTCTAGCATTTGACACAGTTCAAAGTGTTTATATTAAAACACCCTGCTGACATTTAATCCTCCACCTGACATTTCCAAGAGTCCTCCTGTGAGCAGCAGAGGTGCTGCTGGTGTCTGAGCTGGGTCAGAGACATGCAAGATCATCCCTACATCCCAAAGACAATGACGGGTATTAGCCTTCTGATTTTGTTTGGTTCCAGATCCAAGTGTCGGTTTGACCTTAACCTCATTGCTTTTCTTGTTTCTCACATGACGTGGTGATGGATTCGGATAACAAAATACCTGCACGTTTTAAAAATA